TATCAGAGAGAGAGAGAAAGGAGGATATAGAACAAGAAAGGAGGAATGAGAAAGTGAAGCGGTACAAGAGCCTTGTGGAAAATACCAGGAGATTAGGACAGGAAGCGAGCGCATTCGGAAATGAAGCGTTGGACGCAGAACAACAAAGGATGAAAGGGAAAGGATGGAGCGATAGAGAGATAAGGACGCAGTGCCCGATAGAGTGAGAGACAAAGTGGAAACAAGGAAATGTCACACTGCCAGAGACAGAACAGAGAGAGGAAACTGTTAGCCGCAGTTAATCGTTATTCCTCATTGTGCTCCCAGATAGAGAGAAAAATGACAAAGGTCAAGAAAACAAAAACAGGACGGATTGAAATAGGAAGAAGAGCACAACTGACCGGCCAAAAACCAGACATTTTAAATCATGTCTTCTCTTTTGCAGGTCAGTCTAACTTTTCATTCCATTCAGATTCCTCTCTAATAGTTATTTCTCCGTTTGTTTCTCAGTAAAGCTGTGCCGTAAGCGACTCAGGCCTTCACACACCAAACGCGCGTGTGTGTATGTGTGTGTAAAGTCAACCAGTATCATGGCCCAAAGCAGCCAGACTGTAAGGTTCACTGGTTTCACTGGTCTGGGTTGAGATGCGGTGGGGAGCTGCCTTTGTGCGTGTGTTGTATGGTACGTTAATTCTTCAAACACCTGCTGCTTGCATTCTTGTCTTATCCCATTGTCGCAAACACGCACACACATGCGCGCCTTACCTATCTGCCCGTAATAGAAACAAACAGCGGTTAGAGCTTTTGTGCCTCTCGTTAGTTGTCAGACTGGCAGCTGGTCAGTTAAATTTAAAGCTAAGCTAAGCCTGCGTAAAAATGGCCGCCTCACTAGCTTGAAGTCGTTCAGATCCTCTGCAGAGAGTTTTTTTTTAATCATTTTAGGTTGGCCGCAAAAATGTGCTCTACAGCAGAATGATATTGTTTTGAAGTGTAACGGGAGCCCGCTGTTTCTCAGCTCTTTTCAAACAACTTTTAGGAATTTCTCCAAAATATCTGTGTGAAACAAAGGCCTTACTGTACAGGATTATGGAAGTCCATAACTCAATGCATGACACTCTGGCAGCTTCCAAGGTAGCGAGAGTGGATGAACTAACTCCTATATGAAGGCTTATGATGGAGCATTGCTTTAGTTCAGGCAGAGCACTGAAGCTGCTCTTTCATTACTGCTGATCGACGTCAGGTGTGTGATTTATGCGTCACAATCATCGGCTCACTCGCCAGACTTGTGGCTTCCAGCTGATTAGTAACATCCAAACATATACAAACAGGTGTGAAGCTCAGCCATGATAACCTGACGCCTCTCACTACTAATCTGCTGACACTCTTTTCCCTCCACCCACCAGCTCCAACCACTTAAGATTTTGATATTTCATATATTAATTAAGATTGAATGTTCGTGTATGTGCTTATTCGAGGGGATTAGTTCTCCCTTCAGAATTGTCGCTGCTGTGCTGAGTCTTTGAGAGCCAAATGAAGTGTGTAGCCGTTTCCTATAAACGATCAGTTCTGTGATGTAAGTGAATCTGACTGAAACATAGTTAAACTGTAAAGATTGTTTGTAACTGCTCACTCTTCATTGCTTTACTGTAGTTGTTGATGCATATCCATTAATGACAAATGTAGAGGCGAGCCCCCCCACTGTGTAATCATTTCACCCTGCTGTAAGCTGCAGAATAATATTGATCCACATCCTTTTACATCAGCACAATAGCAACAGCAAGTGTTATATTTCAATATTTAAACTTGGTCCATTTCTGTGGAAATCAGACCAATCAGTCCATTAAGTCCTTTCCTGGTTATTGGACCAACAATGAAAATAATATATACAGTTTTGTATGTACTTTAGTAACATTGACAAAATATTAAGATTGTGGGATTTAAAATAGTATTTGTTATACACGTGAGTTTTCTGAGACGGCAAATTATGAATTCATGAAGGATGTTACTGGCTGTTTACGTTTCAAAGAGCGTCTAGACGCCATACTTTTCACCTTTTTGTTTCTGGATACAGCCCTGCGACTTGGTGTTCTTTTTGTTTGAACATGTTATCATTTAATTTCACACCACATCTCGCTTTGCTCTGGCAGTGACCTTGGCTTTCTCACTTGTTGGGCGGTGACATTAGATGGGGTGATGGCGCTCCACCTGGCCCTGTATCCTCACTGTTTGTTTGAGTCAAGAGTGGTTTCCCTGGTGAGAGCACACGTTTTCACTGTGACCAGGAGAAAGATGGAGATAAGGATGGAGAGATTAGGGGAAAAGGCGGAGGTAAAAAAACAACAACAGCAGAAGAGTGGGAGAATGTAGCCAACTGTAAAAGAGGGAGAGATTGAGATAAAAGAGGAGAGATTAGGGGGAGGCAGAAAAACTGAGGAAGGCGAAGAAAAAGTGTTTAGTCAACTGTGAAAGATAAGACGTGAGAGATTGAAAGAGGGGGAGACACTGTAAACGGGGGGGATCAGAGAGAAAAAAGAAAAAGTGGAGGGTAAGGCTGGGATCATGGAAGGAAAGCTGACTGTGAAGGACCGACAGATTGACGTTAAAGTGTGAATAGGGAACGGAGAGATGGCAGATATATGGAGGGAAGGAGGAAGGGGAAAACAAAACACTGAAAGAAAGTGAAAAGATGAAGACAGACGGATAGCAGAGGGGTAGGACAGGGAGGACATGATGGAGAGATGTGGAGAGATGTTGAACAGAAGCATTGGGATTGGTTGCTGCCTCAGAGTCCCTCAGAAGTGAGTGGATACTTGAAATTACAAGTCAACAAAGAAAATAAAACAGTTTCTTTCATCATGGAAGCGACTCTTTCCTCAAGTTGAAAATGACAAATCAATGCTGTATTGAATTTTTCACCGCGTCCAAGAGGGCTTATCAAGCTGCTTCGCTTTCCAAGGAACTGGCAATTACACACACACACACACACACACACACACACACACACACACACACTCACGCACTGAAAGCCTGTGACAAGATCCAGCAGCATCGAGTGTGGATGACGGGGAAGTGGCTCGCTGTCAGAAACTTATCTGGTGTCTGGAGTGCACTGGCAAGATGGATGAGGCTCCGAATCATCGTGAATTTCCTCTCTGTTTTTGAAACAAAAATATCGTTTTTCATGTTGTGGCTGCTTCCAAATGCTTGGATCCCTTGATGATGTGGGTTTATCTGTGATTACAAGGAATGCAACATTATTATAACGGAAACATCATCTTTGTGGTTTAAGTTTCAGACAGTCAGTTTATTGACACATTGCAAAACTATTTTTGCTTTATTTTTGGCATTGTATGCCTTAATTAGTTACTTGACAGGTAGTCTGGATCCCCGGATGTGGACTGTGGATATAAGCCTGCCATTGGCCGCATATTACTCTTTCGCATTCTCCTTCCGTTTCTCAATCTCCGCCATCTACTTTGGTTTAAAGAAATTTAAACTAGCCGGAGTGATTTTCCCCCCTATAACAGAAAGAGAATAGATGCAGCCGGGCCTTTTTCCAGAGCTGACACAGCGCTGTGGAGCAGCACAACACTGACGCATCATCATCTTATGACTTTGTTAACGTCAACGTTTTAACAAGCAGTTCCCTATTTACACAATTGGAAAACACGGGGCAACGTTAGCATTCCTTCCAAAATAAATCAATTTAAAGTCCTTTCAGCTCTTTTTTGGTCTCCACCAAATATCTGTCTCCTGTATCCTGTCTTGCTCTGCAGTTTTGGCCGAAAACGTTTTCTCATATCAAGAATCCTCAAATAGAAACCCTTCCTAATGGGACCTCATTCTGAGAACTTATGTTGTTGCTTATGATTTATAACAGTCTGTACTGTAGTGGCCGGGGATCTTTGATCAGCAGTAATTTCACGTGACCTCGCATAGCATCAGATGAGATGTTGAAACTATTCGTTGCCCTAGAGCCCTTTCAAGGACCCCCGTTGGACTCCTGGACCCAATTTTACGCTTTGGGGAGAGCTGCCCTCGCCCACACCAGCCCTCCTCCCTGTCTCAGGCCGGAGTATGGCTCTTATTAGTGGCCCTTGCCATGGCAGCTTGGAGAAGCCTTTTGAAACCTAATATGGTCTTAAATCAGATTTATAAATGTTTAGGTGTATTATGAAAAAAACACACGCAGGCCTACTTGGCAAAACCTGACTCTGTTTATGTGTGTGTGTGTGTGAGTGAGAGAGGGCGAGTGAAGGCTTACAAAGTGAAGGGAGAGAGAGTCGTGTGTGTTTGTGAAATAGGAAATTGTGTGTGTTGTTTGTCCGCGCTCGCTTGTGTGTGTGTGTGTGTGTGTGTGTGTGTGTGTTTTTTTTTCCTTGCCCTAATTCCTCCAGTACGACAGCGTTTCAATAAACAGCAAACCCGTATAAAGGGAACCAGTCTATACACACACACTCAGCCAGTCAGTTCACATTGCAGTGTGCATACATTGTGCACACGTAGTTAAAACAGATTGAATGACAGCCAGGAAACACGATAAGCTTTTAAACTCTGATGATGGAAAGAGAAAATAATTTCATCCCACTTCTTTTTTTTTTTTTTTTTTGGAAAATTTGTAAATAAGTCGGATCGGCAGCAGCGCTAAGTGTGTGGAAAGAAGTGTGAGTGTGTGCGCAGAATTTTCCTGGTGCCTGTACGGTAGGAGTGTTTGTGTGTTCTGGTTTCTGTTTGTTTGTGTTTGTTTGTGTGTGTGTGTGTGTGTGTGTGTGTGGGCTCATGTGCTGTGGGCCGTTCTCACGCTCTGTCCCGCTAACACATTCACTAATTTGACTGAGCGAGAACACACACACAGAGACCCACGAACGCAGGCACACATGTCGTTCCTCACTGATGTTCATTCGCTCTTAAGCATTTTTTATAATGAAATTGTAAGCTTTGAAGATTCACTGTGTTACATTAACTTCATACTGATGATTAAACTCATTATTAATGTAACCTTTGTGTTTCTCTCTCTGTAGGGATTTGAACAGAAACAACATCACCAGAGTCACTAAAGTGGACTTCTCTGGCCTCAAGAACCTCAGGATTCTGTAAGTCTGTTTCTGTCTTTGTTTCTGTCATCATTTTGTGTTGATAAACCGTTCGCTGCTGAAAGGTTGTTAAGCCAGGTTGTTCAAATTACGTCGAATGTTTCGGTCTCTCTTTTGGTTCCGTCATGTTTATTTGTTCCTGGGATCGTGTCCAAAGATTACAGACCTCATGTAAAAACTTTGTATTCTTATCCCCAACTTCTCTTTGTTTTTTTTTCTGTTTGCTCGTATGAGATTTCCAAGCCGGAGAAAATTCTAAGAACAAGGAAAGCTGGGAATGTGGCGAATTCTCTGAAATCACTCGAACCTGCCGCTTAAGAACAAATCACTTTATACGATCTGTTCTTGCATGAGCTCACTCTTAACGGACACGAGGTGCTTCACAAAACAACTGCAAGTGTAGGGCTACTGCAGGGCTACTGTAGGATTAAAGAAATGTAAGTAGTCTTTGATCAAATAACTGTAGCACTGAAAGAACATGCTTTTGCTAAATGTTTGATAGCTTCAAATAGCTTTAAGCAGATGTTGTAGCTTAACATCAAGTCTTTTATCCCATGGCGTGACATATTTCAGTAAGAAACATCCATGTTGTAGATGTTTGTTTTACAAAGCGTCCCATCTCCAACAGCAAGTTTTAACCGTGTAGGGGATCTTTCTCACCTCAGACAAATGGCTTCAGTTGTGTAAACATAATCACACCTCAACACAATTGGCGGATCAGAAAATGCTCATATGAGTTGCTGTCAAACAACCCACTGAGTCATTTAGATATGAGGATCTCATGTTTATTCTACCAGGTACCAGCAGGTCTATTATGAACTCATTGTTGTCCTCATTGTGACTGTATTTGTTTCTTTACAAGGAATCCCATTAACAAAAAAAAACTGCCATGTTGGAGCAATTAGGCGAGTGCTATAGTTACCTAATAGGCCTGTATATGGCTATAGGGGAAACAAGTCTCTATAAAATAAAGTTTCCCGTCCTAATTAGGGATTTCAGAGCAGCAGAGAATGCACGTGTCTTATCTAAGGAGTTGAATCCCCTAATTATTGCATATTTATGAGGTTAAATAATATAGTAATAATGAGCTGACACGCCGAGCAGCAACACTCCCATTTGTCAAACAAACAATATGTTTAAACTGGTGCAGATATGACGGTATGCAGAGATGAACTGCTGAAACAAATGTTGCACTTTCTACATTGTTTGCAAGAAAGTTTGAGTCATGTTTCATATGAAGAAAAGATAACTCGGAATTTACTCCCATGTCTCTCCAAACAATAGTTAGGGAGTGCTGAAGTTTTTGAAAGTTGTGCAATACTGGGACATCATACCAGAGATACCAGAATGCCTTTGAAAAATGAGAAATGAGAAACAGACATTTGAGATTCTTTATAGATGCTGTGATACACAGGGGATCTGTATAAAGTTGTGCACATGCTATTAAACTTCAAGAAAATAAAAAAAGGAAATTGATGCTTTATATTTCTACAATGTACACAGAAGGGTTGTTGGTCCACTGTACACAGTAATTGCTTCTTCTCTGCATACTGGCCACAAAGAGCTGAACTAACTTGATGTGTCATAACTGGTGATTCCAACCATTGTGATATACTCTCTGTTCAGAAATGTGTTTTGTCTTTGGGACTTAAAAAAGAAAATAAAACAGCTGAGCCTGACCGACACAATGACTTCCAAAGGCAATTTATTGACTACAGACTTAATATATAGCTGTCAGGAAACATCTCAACATCATCTTTTTTCTTATTATGAGTCTTCTTCATTCTGTTGTCATCTTTGATGCTCTTGAAAAACCTCCTGACATGCTAAAGTCATTGCTGATGATCTAACTCGTCATATCTGAACGGCTGCACCCGACAGGAGTGTGACTCCCCGTCTCCTCTCAGCTGTCCTAATTGACCTCAAGGGCTCTCTCACTATCCTGCCTCAAGTGGCTCAAATGTGTGTGTGTGTGTGTGTGTGTGTGTGTGTGTGTGTGTGTGTGTGT